GAATGTCTGTCTGTCTGAATGTCTGTCTGTCTGAATGTCTGTCTGTCTGAATGTCTGTCTGTCTGAATGTCTTCTGTCTGAATGTCTGTCTGTCTGAATGTCTGTCTGTCTGAATGTCTGTCTGTCTGAATGTCTGTAGTTCTGAATGTCTGTCTGTCTGAATGTCTGTCTGTCTGAATGTCTGTCTGTCTGAATGTCTGTCTGTCTGAATGTTGTCTGTCTGAATGTCTGTCTGTCTGAATGTCTTCTGTGCTGTCTGAATGTCTGTCTGTCTGAATGTCTGTCTGTCTGAATGTCTGTCTGTCTGAATGTCTGTCTGCTGAATGTCTGTCTGTCTGAATGTCTGTCTGTCTGAATGTCTGTCTGTTCTGAATGTCTGTCTGTCTGAATGTCTGTCTGTCTGAATGTCTGTCTGTCTGAATGTCTGTCTGTCTGAATGTCTGTCTGTCTGAATGTCTGTCTGTCTGAATGTCTGTCTGTCTGAATGTCTGTCTGTCTGAATGTCTGTCTGTCTGAATGTCTGTCTGTCTGAATGTCTGTCTGTCTGAATGTCTGTCTGTCTGAATGTCTGTCTGTCTGAATGTCTGTCTGTCTGAATGTCTGTCTGTCTGAATGTCTGTCTGTCTGAATGTCTGTCTGTCTGTCTGAATGTCTGTCTGTCTGTCTGAATGTCTGTCTGTCTGAATGTCTGTCTGTCTGTCTGAATGTCTGTCTGTCTGTCTGAATGTCTGTCTGTCTGTCTGTCTGAATGTCTGTCTGTCTGTCTTGTCTGTCTGTCTGTCTGAATGTCTGTCTGTCTGTCTGAATGTCTGTCTGTCTGTCTGAATGTCTGTCTGTCTGTCTGAATGTCTGTCTGTCTGTCTGAATGTCTGTCTGTCTGTCTGATGTCTGTCTGTCTGTCTGAATGTCTGTCTGTCTGTCTGAATGTCTGTCTGTCTGTCTGAATGTCTGTCTGTCTGTCTGAATGTCTGTCTGTCTGTCTGAATGTCTGTCTGTCTGTCTGAATGTCTGTCTGTCTGTCTGA